GGTGGGTGGGGGTGATTTTGCTACATATTAAAGTTTTATATGGCTGTGGTGTTTTTAGCAAAATTTCAAATGTAGGGGGTTAAAAAATTTATTCAAAAAATAATAATAATAAATACTATTATATTAATATTTAAAAAAGTGAGCAATTTAGTAATCTATATAATATACCCACCCATCTATCCTCTCAACCAAACATATTATTCACCAATTTATTCGAACCAACCAAACACATTTTCTAAACATTTTTAGTAATCTTCAAGGTGATCTTTCCGTTAATATAATATCCCCTTATAATAAAATATTATATGATCCAAACGTCCTCTTTATATAAAAATAATTATAGAAATATGGTATCGAGATCTTTTCTTAATTATAATCCAAACAAAATTGATATTAGGACTATTTAATTAGATAATTACAAATATAAAGTTTCAAGTTTGTTCCCCAGTTAGAACGTACAGACTACAAGAAATTTAAAATTTATGGACAAAAATTTTCGTAACAGAAAGTGAAAAATTTATCTTAAAAAGTAATGCGGGACGACAAAGCAAATCGTCCCTAAATCATATTTTTCACAATCGAGAACAAAATCATATTTCTTTCTTAATAAATTTCCAAATTTTGTACAATTAGTGACAAAAATTTCGTCCTAGAAAAAACTGGTTTTTATCTACAAAATTTTTTGTCCAAAAATAATAAATTTCATCCCAGAATGATTTCCCTCCATATTATTTTGTCCTTCCTCCCAAATGGCATTATTGGCAGGGGGCCGGAAATTGAGTGCTAAGCATTTTTTGATGAAATTTCAATTTTGTCCACTAAAATAACAATTCTTGGATGAAACTGAATATTTCCCTAAATTAAAAATTGTAGTTCCAAATTTCGTCCCTAAAAATGTATTTTCACAATCTAGGACAAAATCATATTTCGTCCCTAATAAGTTTTCTAAATTTTGTACAATCAGAAACAGAAAAGTTCCGCCCCAAAAGAAAAGGGTTTTTAGCTACACAATTTTTCATCCAAAAATAATAAATTTCGTCCCTAAAAATGTATTGTTACATCGAGGACAAAATCATATTTCGTCCCTAATAAGTTTTCCAAATTTGTGCAATTAGAGACAAAAAATTTCGTCCCAGAAAAGAAGGTTTTTAACTACAAAATTTTTCGTCCAAAAATAGTAAATTTTGTCCTAGAATGATTTCCCTCCATATTATTTCATCCTTCCCTCCAAATGGCATTGTTGGCGCGGGCCGGAATTTGAGGGCTAAGCAATTTGTGATACAATTTCATCCCCTAAAATGACAATTTTGGGACGAAGTTTAATTCGTCCCTAAATATTTCATCTCTAAATTAAAAATTGGTTGTAGTGAAAAATATCAATTGATATTAATTATGTTAGCATTATGCAAATGCCACTGAATTCATCCATAAAATATCATTTAAATCTAATAATATTGAATGCAACAATATTTAAGCATAATCACAAAATAAATATCAGAAATTCCTAATTTGATAATTAACTCTATATATATAATCCAATTTTTATACTTAATGTTAATTTTTTTTTTTTTAATATCAAATCGATTCATTTACCATATTTATGACAATCATGTATAACAAGTATAGCATAGAGAATAGTGTTAATTAAAATGGCTATAGACTATCTCAGGGGCCTAGTTAGTAAATACGGGTATGACAAAAAAAGGGTACGGGAATTATACAGGTATAATACGGTAAACGGTGAAAAATACGTTTATAAAAATTTAGCCATAAAATTCGGATACGGGAAAAATACGGTACGGGTATATACGGGTTTAATACGGTGCATTGTCAATAATACGTTTTGAAAAATACTGCAATATCAATCTTAGTTTTAACACTTTTATGGACTACCTGGTTAAAATCAACATGATATTTCAAATGCAAAGTATTCAATTAACCAATAACACAAATACACAATATATAACTGATATTCAAATTATAGTCTCTAGACTCAAACACAATATTTAGCCAAGATTCAACTATAGTGTCAAATTAAACACATAAGTCATAACAGAATTGGGTTATGAGATGTGATAATTTTAATTCTACTGATGAGTGATGAGCCCTTTTCTGCTTTTCAGGCCTTGGGATAAGAGGGTTAAAATTAATCTAGTACTATAATCAAACTATTTTGAAGTATATTTATTTATTGGTTAGAATTGGATTATATAGTATATTTATTTATTTGAATATAAGAAATAATTTTTATTTTACAATTAAATAATAGAGAGTCACATATTTTAATAGGCTGAATGACATTTTCTCAACCCAAAGTTCGGCGAATTTACATTTTTCCACCCATTATTAAAATTCTTACATTAGTTTTAATGGTTAAAAGACATTCTTGTCAGTCTAGTCTGCACAAATTTTATTATAAAGTTAATATTACTTACAGCCCTAAAGTACAAATAGATGGTAATTACCTTCATTAACTTGAAAATTAGTCACTTAAACTCCTATCTTCAATTTCTATTAAAAATTATATTTTTATTAAAAATAGGTTATTAAATAAAAGAAAAGTTAAGTTTTATAAAAATAAAATTTATAAATTAATAAATAACCATTTTTAATAATTAAGAAAAAAAATCAAATTTTTAAAAAAATATAAAAAAATAAAAAATTGCCCCAGCCCCTTTTATCCTTCTCCCACATCCCACCGCCACAAAATCCTCCACCCCCAATATTCTTTCATAATTCACACCTGCTACGCACCTTCCCTCATCCCCAAAATCTAACAACTCTAGCGCCCCACCTTCATCATCTTTCGAAACCACAACGAACTCTAGCAGGGCCACCTCCTCTAATTTCTTTTCTTCTTTCTCTTCATTCTTGTTTTCCCTCTCTCACTATTAGTTTAATGTTTTCATGGATTTGTTCATTTTCAAGGTGAATTTGATGGTTGTTTGGGGCGCACTGCTGACTGCCGAAGAACTGAAGAAGAATGACTGAACCATATCTGTTTTAATTTTTTGTATAAACCCACCAAAACGACATCATCTTGGGGGTGAGATTTTTTTTTTTTCAAAAATTCACGAATTATACGGGAAACCTTATTATACACGAATTATACGGCAGATTTTACAAAATACGTATACACGCGTTTTATACGCGAATTTTACGGCTGTTCGTATAATTCGAGTATAATACGTGTTTTTACTAACTAGGCTCAGGGGTCAAATAATACTCGCTCAATGACTTCACCGAGGTGAGCCGAAAGTAAAAATCTTAGCCTTTTTGTATATCCTAACAAAAGGTTTATGACCAATGCATGCCTAATAAATAAATTTCTTTAAAAAAAGAAGAAGAAGAAGAAGAAGAAGAAAGAAAATAGGAAACCTGGTTTACTGATCGAATGGAAAAGCACCACGTACATAAATATAAGGAAAATGATAGAGTTACCGAAAAGTGTACACCGAAATTGTCCACCGAATGACGTGACAAAATCCTGACTGTTGATTAATATTAACTTATAATGAATCAACGATCAGGATTTTGCCTCATCATTTGGTGCACAAATTCGGTGCACACCCGCCGGTAACTGTAGCATTACTTTAAATATAAATAGAGCATAATATATATATGCAATTATAGAACTTAATAATAAAAACGTCATTTTCAAATGCGATTCAGCTTACGATGAGAGAACAAGTGGTTTATATAATAAGTTTGTTTAATGTTAAAGTGGAGTGATGTATCTATTGGTTGATTAAATCAAATCTAGTTTTGAAAATTGGTAGTTTAGTGGGTCCAGTAGGTTGAAAAAAAAAAAAAAAAAAAAAAGTTACTTTTACCTGTTCTTTTCGAATTCTCATGCTCTAGTCTGAAAATGGTTGAACGATTAATTTTTTGTATAGGGAAATTATTCGTCCATTAGTCACAGTTTTTGTTGGTTTTTCTTCCTTAATTTATGATTGGAAATAGTAATTAATAATAGCTTTAAATTAAATATTTGGATAATATAATGAAGCTCAACCTAATTCATGTAACGTGAAAATGATAGATTGATAACAAAAATTATACGACATTTTGATGTCGTGTTATGCCTGTGATGGATTATGTAATTACAATACAATTAAATTTGCAAAACTTTGGTATAAATAGTACTGTGTAAAGCAAAAAATGAGTTACAAAATTAATTAAGAAACTTCATATACATAAATCGAATAATTATGCATGCTTCACGTAAGTACGTGTCCATAAATAAAGATGAATCATACTTTATTATCTAATGTTTCATTAGTGCTGATCTTGAATTTCAAATAAGAACATGGACAAAAAAGCATATAGATATATGTGTATACTTTCGGCAGGATAATTTAAAGTATTGATATCACTATATTACATGATATTTATATTATCTCTATGACATGTAAGACTTATAATATTGAATTCATAATACGATTAATACCCATAATTAATGTACTGATAGTATGAAAAATAAGGCTTGTAATTTGTAAGTATATTATAATCATTTATATATTAAAATATCTTGTGTTAGTGGGCATAAATAAGTTACTATTTTGGGTGCATCTGAAATCCTAAATTAATAATGTTATTAGAGATGCATAGATATAAGTAACATTAACAAATAAAATTGTTGGTATGATAATAATAGTTGACAACATTAATGGCCATTTATTTATTATTTGAAAAAAAAAAAAAAAATCCTAGAACACAGCAGTTTCATTGAACAATATGATAAATATCAAATAGTGTATATGCTGATGTCAAAGAATTTCAATGGCCACTGCTGTCACTCAACTGAACTCATTCTCTGAAGAGCCAATAATATAATAATAAACTCAAGAGTCAAAATTGTAATTAGTGGCTGTGGCTGACTCATCAGTCATCACCACACAAACCGTGCAACTCAACCGACCATTGACCAAAATCTCCCTCAATATATAATTCAAATCCAAATTCATTTGCAGAAAAAACGTTCAATTCTTTTTCTCTACAAACCTTAAACACACAGTCTTCTCTTAAACAAACATCATTTAATGTGTATTTCAGAACTGGCTCAGCCTCTCGAACTAGAAGAAATAAACAAAAGGGTAGTCACAACCCTATACGAGGCCTTGAACTCTCGTGATGTTGATACGGTGCATCGCTCGCTAAATCCTGATCTTGAGTGGTGGTTCCACGGCCCTCCAATCCACCAGCATTTGATGCGCATACTCACTGGATCATCATCAGACGACAGCTCTTTCACTTTCATTCCTCACTCTATAGTTGCCTTTGGATCAACGGTCATTGTCGAGGGTGATGACAAACAATTATCAGTTTCTTGGGTGCATGCGTGGACTGTGACTGATGGGATAATTTCTCAGGTAAGAGAATATTTCAATACCTCTGTAACAGTCACTTGTTTTGGCGACACGGACGGATTTTCTTCTCCGGATTTGAGCATTAGTACTTGCCAAAGTGTTTGGCAAAGCAAGCTTTGTGATAATAAATCTGTGCCTGGTCTTTTGTTGGCACTTTAGCTAATGTTAATGAAGCTAAAATCTGAAAGAGTGATATCTTAAGATCCTGGATCAGTTTATATTTTAGGGTTTTTTTAAATAAGAAATATACTCGGGATATGTATTGTATAAATATTCTAGCATATGCTTAAAAGCTGGTGTCTCTTGTGTTCTTAATTAATATGATAATATTAATTGTGTTTTGTTTTCTTGTAAGTTTGTGTGGGCAGTTAATTTGTTAAGATATGATATTAGAATATATATGTTGATGTTATGTAGTGGAGAGGTCTGTTTCCAGAGCGTTTGTTATATTTTATTTATTATGGTTAATGAAGAGACATTACCTATTTTGTCTGAATTAATTCAGTTAATGATTTTATATGCACATATTTATTGATAGTCTTCAATTAGAATAAGCGTGCATTTGGCGGCCTCTAAATTCTTAACATTTATTGTTAAAGTTGGGAATTGAATTAAGAACAGGAGTTGATGAAATGATGTGTGATGAGCAGATGAGTAGTAAAACCAATAACAATTAGAGTGGATAACAGGTAAGAAAGCTTGGAACCACAGCCACTAATATCTAAAGTGGAAAAAATATATTATGTGTACAAATATTCCTACTATATATCTATATACAAAATTTCTTTTTTCTTATAATGGATAGTATGAAAATAAAGCTCATTTAAAGCTAAAATTTGATAAAGATTATATTATAATTCTTGAAAGGCAATTAAGGGGGTATTTTGAATATGTTGGTTGCAAAACTGAGAAATACAACCCAAATATACAAAACCACCAAAACAGCAACGCCAAAGGGCTGGAAAGCCTGGAATGCAACGCATCCAAGGAGAAGCTTGTGATGATAACATCATAAATATGGAAAGCTAATTCCCCAATTAGGGATAGTGATTTATACGATATAATGCAATCCATTGTTTTAAAACCTAGACCGAAGGTCAACCTGTTTTGTCGCAAGGGTCAACTAGTCCAATCGGTTGGACCGATCTGTTGAACCGGTGACATCAGCAATAATTTTATTTTTCTAAAAATTGCATGTTAGTCTTTTAAATTTTAGTATATTACAAAAATACTCCTAAAAAATTTTAAATTAGTCCTTAAATTTTTTATTTATTTTAAAATTCCCCCAAAAAATTACCAACTAATCCCTAAACTTTTGACATATTTCCAAAATACCCCTAAAAATTACAATTAGTCCCTATGAATTAAAATATTACAATAACCCTCCTAAAACCTGAATTTGACCGGAGAAGCTACTTGGTCCTAGTCTGATAGGCCGATCCGATTTGGGTTGTAAAACAGAGGTGCAACCTACCCTAATCCAGTAATTACTAATTCACCCAAACCCAAATATGATTTCACTACAACCCAATCCACTCCATTAGCGGCGGAATTAGAAAATTATATTGGGGGAGAAGGGAAGATAGAGTATGTTTGAAGAAGGGAGAGCAAAGTTAAAAAAAAAAAAATTATTTAAAAAATCGTATTTAAAGGAGATTATGTAAAGTTAAATAAACAATGCGTGCTAAAGTTAAGAATAACTTATAGAGGGTGAAATTGTTATTTTCATATATGAAATCTGAAATTTTTTGTAGAGACACAACTTGACTTACTTCGAATAATAGAGCACGCCGCTATTAAACTGTCCAGTGAAAAAATTTTATTTTTCATAATATTTTCTACTCAATCAAATATTAATCTATTGATTCTTTCTTATTTATATCCATTTGCTTTTATAATTGGAAAAAAAAAAATGTATAAAGTATTAATTCTTGAAATTTCAAATCATGGGTATATTCAGGGGTGCATCTCGACCGAAAACCATCCTATTAGAATTACTACATTGGTTTGCCGTTTTTATCCTTCCAATTTTCATTCATTATTTTATATAAACTTTAAGGGTTGGTTTGATACAACTTTCTCATGTATAAATTATAGAAGAAGAGCTTATTAAACTAGAGTTGTTTGATAAGAAAAACTGAAACGAGTTTTCTAGTACTAATTTATCAAAAAATTGTTTTATATACAAAACTAGATCAAGTCAAATTAACCAAAAAGGGTTATTTGAAATTTCATCATTTTAAATTAGGCTTGCCAAAATTGAACAGATCGAATAACACAACACGAAACCATTCGTTAAAAGCCACCGTGGTCCACCCTCCTTGATTCACATCTATAATTTCATCATTGGAAATGAGTTAAGAGCACCAATTGAACTACACTATATTTTGAGTGAGGATTAGGTTGTTATAATAATAAGGTGCTTAAAAATATGTTATAAATAAGATGTATTTTTTTTTTTCAGTTTTAAAATTATTACCTAATTGCTCTAGTAGGTTTCCTAATTTGTATTATTATTCAACATTTAAAAAAAAAAAAAAAAAAAAGTCTCAAGTTTTTGTCTCGTAGTTATTATATTCAAATTCAATAAAGGTAATATTGTTACATACAAATTTATAAAATTTAACAGTAAGATGTGACGGTGTAATGTTTTATTAATTCTATGTGGTTTCAATAATAACTTTAGCGGAAAGACGTATTATATTTTATATAAATTTGAGAATTAGACTTTAATGTTGAATTTGCTTATATTATTAGTATTGTAAGAAAAAAAAATTAATAACAATGCGTGCAATTATATGATTATGAAGTTTTTATACATTTCATTATTTATGTGTTTAGGGATATAGTTTAATACTCTAGTATAAACTTATTTATAAGAGGTCAATCGTGTGTCGTTTTGACGCTAGTGGTCGATAGTGGCAGCGACGACTATTAGCGATTGGCAATGGTTGCTTAGGTGGATTTTTTTTTTAATTTATAAACTTTTATTGAAAAAGATAATTGTTAAATATTTTAAATTGAATGGAATGAAATTAGATTTTCAATTGAATAATCAATATTAAAAAAAGACGTTTTTCACCTTTTAGGATATGATAGAGTTTGAAAAGTTAAATGAAGAGGGAGATTATATATTTAAAAATTTTATTTCTAAAATTGTTTTATTTTTTATCGAGGCTTAAAAAATGACCGTGAGGCTTAAATAATAACACTTGTATTTTGTTAATTCATAAAATGAATTAATTTAGAGTGGATTTGTTGGCACCCCCTAATGGACCAAAGGAGCCCCACTTTTTAGTAAATTTTATAATGATAAATTTATCCCTATATTAAATTATTAAAACTAATTTTAATTTTTTACACTTTACAATTACTTTTGGCACCCAACTACAATCTCATAAAACTCTAATTTTTTTATGCGATTCATATCATTCTTATAATAAAAAGATAGTTTAATGGAGGAAGAAGATTTGTGATGAGATATATCACGTTACATGCAACGCAAAAATGTAAGTTTTTAATTGCTTCAGTTATAAATATATTGTCATTTTTTTTATTCAAAGTATTGGTAGTTATTTAATCTATATGTTTTTTGTATTGTTTATTTGTGTTATGTTCTTGAGATTATTTGAAAAGAATTTTTTTAGTTTTAATTTTTTTTCTAAACTTTCACTTTAATTATCTAAAATTTTAATTCAGTAATAATGATGGTGGGTGTTGTAATAAACCAGTTAACACAAATAAACTACTAAACGCATAAACACAAGAAATCAAGAATAGTCACAACACGAGTTTTATCGTGGTTCACTTATCCAGAAATAGGAGAGCTCACTGCATTACTAATTAGAACAAGGTCCAAACAAGATCAAACCCTCACCAATTTACACGAAAATCTCTTAGTAAGTAACCCTAGAGAAATTCATCAGGAATCTCTAAGCACAAGAGCAAAAACTCTTCTGATTGACTAACCACCTCACCAATCAACCCAAGTTACAAAGATTTCCAGAAATTGAATAATCCCTAAAATGATAGCAAACTGAATCTTTTAGCAGAGATAACAACCCGAGTTTCAAAAACTAAGGATTCTAACTATTCATACACTTATATATTGTTGACCCCTTTGAAAATCCTCAGCTGTTAGATTTAAATTTGTTCAACGATCAGGACCCAATTCATGTTGTCTCAAAACGCAGCGTTCCATTAATCCCTAAAGCGATATCGTTTCAGTATTCACTTCAACAATCTCCACCTTGAAGACTTGAAACTCCTAGTGTGTAGTTTACTCTAAGCCATATCCCTCATAGCTTTAGATCATGTTTGTTTACTCATTTGATAGCAAATTCAAGCAGTGCTTGAACTTTGCTTGTGTGATGATCTTTGTCCCCATATCAACTGGATTTTCTTCAGTGGGTACTTTTTCAATTCAACTACTCCTTAGGCAACCAAATCTCTTAAAAGTGAAACATGACATCTACATACTTGGTCCTTTCATGATAGACTAGGTTTTTACTCAGATGAATCGCACTCTCGCTGTCTAAGTAGATTGTAACCTTCCCGCTAGTTAGGTTTGCTTCTGACATCATTCCCTGCAGCCAAACAACCTCCTTAAACACATCAACAATGATTATATACTCAGCCTCAGTTGATGAAAGTGCTACAATGGGCAACAACTGTGATTTCTAGCTTATGCAGTTTACACCAAGGGTGAAATAGTAGGCAATTGTGGATTTTCTGGTGTCTTTATTACTGCAAAATCTAAATCTACAAATCCAACAAGATCAAACATAGCAGTTTTCTTGCAGTACTTTAAACCAACGCTTAGTGAGCTGTTAATGTATCTAAGACATTTGAGGGCAGTCTAATGTTCGCTGCCGGGGTTGGACATAAATCTGATAAGCATTTATATAGCAAAAGACAGGTCAGGTCTAGTGCTTATGATCGCATGCATTATAAAGCCAATTACACTTGCGTATGGGACAACATTCACCTTTATCATCTCAGCTTCAGTTTTAGGACACTAGTCTTTACTTAGCATAAAATGATTTGCTAAGGGCATAGAGATAGGTTTGAGTCAGTCATTCCAAACCTATTTATCAATTTTTTCAGGTAAGAATTTTGTTCAAGTTTTAAACAGTTATTACTCATATCTCTAGATATCACCATTCCTAAAATTTTCTTGGCAATACCCCGGTCTTTCATATCAAATTCTAAGCTTAGTTTCTTCTTCAAATCTTGTATTCTTAACTTGGATCTACTGATTAGCAACATATCATCAACATACAACAAGATG